TCTAGAGTGGAAGAGTGGGAGAGGTCAGATGGGTTGACCTTCTCCTTCCAGTGCTTGTCGTAGAGTGTTGAAGACCTGGGGTTCTTTCCATCATCAAGAATTAGATAATACGAGTTATACACGAAGCATAATAATAATCTTTACAAAATTATGATATAACAAACATTAATATATGTACAAAATAAAACGAGCACTATTTAACTTCCTTTTCTTATTTACTAGTTAGAATTGCATAATGTAAAGTATATTTAAACTAATCGGTTCTTTACGGAGGGGGGAAGTGATACAAGAAAGGGAGGGGGAGGGGTTCAGGACCACTAAAAATAGTCATTTCTTTTATTAGTATTTTGCCCAGGTGTCCGGGGATTCAGATTCTACAATTGTCAGGTGCAAGAGGTTAGATCTATGGGAAAGAATAACAATTCCAACGGATATCTATTTTTAACGTTGATATTGTCTGAAATCAAGGATTTAGGAAAACAGGGATTTACTACAGTTTATATCTATGTATTAGGGTAAGTACTTCTTATCTTGATCCTGGTTTTCTAATCTATATCTCTTCTTGAATTGTCTCATTGCTTCATATAAAGTTCTTGCCTCTGAAAAAGGAAAACTATAATTTTAACAATTTTGAGTTGCTTAGAACCTAGAGCATGGCTCTACAGACTGGATTCTCCTGAGATACTCCAAAGAGGGCAGCTCTGGAGTGTTAAGAAAGCCTCCAGGTAACACCAACGGAGAACCAAAAAGAGCTTCAGAGGCAGAGACAGATGAATCTTCTCTAGGAACGCTCTGGAGTCCAAGTAATACTAGGGGCAGATGATAGAACCAATCCCTCCCAGCTGGACGAGCATGTAGAGAAACTTTGAGCTGACAATGAAACTTTTCCACGATACCATTAGATTGAGGATGGAACGAAGTTGTAGGTGAGTGAACTATACCAAGGAATCTGCACAAAGCTGACCACATGGAACTAGTGAACTGAGCTCCACGATCTAAGGTAATTAGAGAGGGTACTCCGAATAGAGGAATCCATGAACGTAGGATGACTCTTGCACACTCCTCTGCAGTTGTAGATTTGAGAGGAACTGCCTCCGGCCATCTTGTTGACCTATCAATGATGGTGAACTGGTAAGAAAAACCATCAGACTGAGGGAGAGGACCAACCAGATCAACATGTATATGTGAAAACCTCTGACCAGAAACTGGGATATGTTGAACAGGAGACTTCACATGACTCTGGATTTTACTTCTCTGACAATCTAGGCAAGATTGAGCCCAGAGGTTTACATCCTTAGACAGGAATTCCCAAAAAAAACTCATGGAAACCAGTCTTCGTGAGGCGCGTTTTCCAGGATGAGAAATCTTGTGGATTGCATTAAAAACATTCTTTCTCATAGCCTCAGGAACCAATGGACGGTGGATTCCTATAGAAACGTTGCAGAGCAATTCCTGAGAGTTGGAAACTTGAACGGAGACAATCTTCAAGGCTGAGGACTGGCGGAGCTGTTGGATCTTCGTGCATGATTGTTGGAGCGAAGACATTTGTATATATGATACACCAGGAACTATTGGAGGGGGAGCAGGAGCCAGAAGAACAGAGTGCATCACAGGATCTGTCACTTCTGACACCGCCGACACCTCAGGGACTCGATCATCAGCAGGATAAACTTCAGGAGAAAAACTTGACGGAGCAGGCTGAGGAGAAAAACTGGAAGGTTTTGTCACAGGTTTCGGAGCGGAGCTAGGAGAAACAGGACTGGACAGGGCGTCTGCAACTATGTTCCCAGTTCCTGGGAGATGGCGGATATCACAGTTGAACTCAAGATAGGAATGATAGACGGCACTGCTGCATGGCGGACCAGGGCGGAGAAGTCCTGAACAAAGCATGAGTTAGAGGTTTGTGATCAGTAAGTAAAACAAACTCTTCACCTTCTAGGAGGAACCGGAAATGGCGGAGGGCGGAATAAGCAGCAAACAACTCTCTGTCAAAGGCGGAATATCTTGTCTCGGCAGAAGAAAGCTTCTTGGAGTAGAAAGAAAGAGGAGCCCAGAACCCAACAACTTCTTGTTGAAGAACTGCTCCAACGTGAGAACCAGATGAATCGACAGCGAGTGAAACCTTGGCGGACGGATCTGGATGCACTAGGGTTGGCACACTTGAGAGGAGAGATTTGGTTGATACTTTCCCTTTCAATCCTTCTGTCAGCAGAGAGAGAACCCCTACAGCACCCTTGATGAACCTTCTGTAGAAATTCAGAATACCCAGGAACCTTTGAAGTCCTTCCTTGTCTACAGGGCTAGGGAATGTTGAAATAACTTCAGTATGCTTCTGGAGAGGAAAACATCCCTTAATTGAAACCCTCATTCCAAGATATTAAACTTCAGGTTTGGCAAACTCGCACTTGGCAGGGTTTATGCTCTTTATGCTCAGACCATGGAGGCAGAGACGGTCAAAAACCTGGCGGACATGGCGTAGGTGTGACGTGGCATCAGGACTGGCAATGAGAAGGTCGTCGACATACACAAAACAGTGTGGAATGTCACCTAGAATCTGGTCCATCATCCTTTGGAATGTGCATCCTGCATTCCTGAGACCAAACGGCATCCTGATCCACTCAAAAAGGCCAAAAGGATTTATAACCGCCGTCATAGGAATGTCACCTTTGGCCATTGGAACCTGATAATAACCTTTGGTCAGATCCAACTTGGTAAAAACTGTACAACCGTTGAGTCTAGAAGTAAAATCAGCTATGTTGGGAAGAGGATATCGATCTGGAATTGTCTGAGTATTCAATCAGCGATAATCGCCACAAGGACGCCAGGAACCGTCAGGCTTCTGTACCATATGAAGAGGGCTGGCCCAAGGAGAGTTTGAACAGCGGATTACACCAGCAGCTTCCATTGCAGCAAATTTTTTCCTGGCAGACTCAAGCTTTTCTGCATCTAACCTTCTAGCCTTGGCAAAAACTGGCGGACCAGGAACGGTTGGAACAGAGTGACGAACTTGATGCTTTGGAACAGAGGCACTAAAGTCCTTAGAGGAGATAACATCAGGGTACTCAGCTAACAAATCCCTGAACTCCTCAGAGGTAGACAATAATGCAGCATACAATACTGAAGGTTTCCCTGGTTTAGTTGAGGGAACAGCGGAAATGGCTCAAGGGTTGCAGCATCTAGGAGACGGGCACCAGCAACGTCAACCAAGAGGTAGTGATGGCTGAGAAAATCTGATCCTAGGATATGCATAGAAACATCTGCTAGGAGAAAAGTCCAATCAAAACGACGAGGCCCGAATTGTAGAGCTATCTGACGAGAACCATAGGTATCCATAGCAGTACCATCGGCTGAACCCCCACACTAGGAGCTCAAGGTTGCTGAGGAAGATGTGGATAGACTGATACAGAAGCTCCAGTGTCAACCAGAAACTTGCAAGAGGAAGGATAGAACATTCTGCAAAAATATAAGGTTTGAGGAAGGAGAATCAGCGGGAATTGCATTCCAATAATCCCCGCCACTGACTAGTTTCCCGAACGGGAACAGGGAGCTCGACACTGACTAGCTGCATCTCCCCACCGGCAGTGGTACCAGCAAACTCCGGAAGAACTGGTTCTCCTATCTTCTTCTGGAACTAAGGAACAACTGGGAGACCTAGGAACAGAACCGCGAGTCCCAGATCTAGTGGACGAATTCCTCCACGGCAAGGCATACACATCCTCGAACTGCTCAGAGAGAACTTGCACAGGAACACTCCATCCACGCATCGTCCATAACTCGTCCGCGCGCAGAGCCATCCTCCGTGGGTCACTGATGGACTCAGAGAGCAAATGTGCTGGAATATCAGCTGGAAGACGGTCCATAAATAGTCCCCATAAGAAAAACCCAGGCTTCTTGTCCTCAGGGAGCAAAACTAACATTTTATCCATTAATTCAGAGGGATGTTGGTCAGATAACAAGGGTAAACTTTGTAATGCCTGATACCTCTGGAAATCACTCAACATGTACATCTGGATGAGACAGCTTCTCAGGGCTTCGTAAGGAGTGGCAGGGGGAGCTCGAACCAGGTCTAAAAGTTGAAAGGCAACATCCTGGGGCAACGCAGTGAGGCAGTGATTGAACTTGGTTCGTGAGGTTGTAATCCTTTTAACCTTGAACTGTGCCTCGGCCTGGATGAACCATACTTCTGGAGAATCGGTCCAAAAGGTCGGAAGATTTATGGAAACAGTCGTCAAAGGAACTGCAGACTGGGATAGATCACTTCCTTCTTCCTCCGGCATCTTGACAGTCGCTACTTAACAAATCCCTGAACTTTTCTTGAAATCTCGCTGGAAACCCTAATTTGGTATTTGGGTTTGAAAAACGCAGGGACCCGGTTGAAACCAATTTCAGGTACGTTGGCAAGAGAGATTATTTAACAGTCGACAGTGACAAATCACGTTGGGGTCACCAAAATGTAGCGACGCAAAATAACAAAGATATAAACTGACTGAATATATATTTTTTGTATCAGTTACAACATGGTATCTAAAAAACTGTGTAAATATATTTGGTTTGGTTTACAGAGCTTCTGGGAAGAAGACAATATTCCAGGGTCTCCACATGTTCATAATTTCTCTACTTCATCATTTTTTTTCTTCTTCATCATTTTTTTCTTATGTTGACTGCCCTGGTTCTGCTGAATCATTTGTTTGGTATATTGTTACTGCAGACACATTTTTGAAAATTTGAAAATCTAATTTTTAATTGAAACTTATTTTCTTAACTAACAACCTGTGCTGATAGAAGAACCCAAAAAAACCAGTGGCCAAAGAAAGTTGCCAGGGGTATGATCCAGTTGATTTTACTTCACTTCCGCCCACAATACGCCCTTCTCCTGAACTTTCAAATTATAAGTAAGTAATTAAGTAAGTAATTATTTATTTATGAAATATAACAAAAATGTACGAAATTAAGTGTTTTGGGAGAAAATATTTAAAAACTTTAAAAATCGAGGTTATTGGAATATTTTACCTTTATCTAAAAAAATGAAAGGAAAAGAAAAGTTACATATTTATTGTATTAAATCTATTGTCATTAATTTTTTTTAAGTGATTTTTTTTCAAGTTAAGATTACTTCCTTCACTTTTACTTGTTTCACACCTTTTTCTTTAATGTAGTGTCCACATATATCTTCATCATGCAATGTTGAACCTATCTTCATGATTTGCTTGTTATGAACCCAGTTAAAATGGTTGATCAGGCTTAAAACATCCTCATTCTCTGCCTACCGTGTATAACATTGATGATGATTAGTTAGTTGTCGAATTCAGCTTAATTTAGTATTATTTTTATGACAATTTTAGAAATCAGAAACTTGACAACACCTAAAGTTCAAGTGACGCTCCACCATAGATGGTAATGCCTGATTCACAACAGTAACCTTGAAATCTTCATCTGATCAAGTGGAAGATATTGTCATTTATCTGGTCTTAACGTGTTTAGTTTTAATAATTTCTATCCGTTTTCCTGCATTGAAATTTGCTTATTTCATTTATTAGGAAAAAACGCATTTGAACATAATCAGTTTTGAAAATTACAAACATTGATCATGGATATTGAACAGACAAAGATTTTAAAGGTACTGTTGTGAATCGGGCATTGTCATTTTTGCATGGTAGGTCACTTGAAACTATGCTTAGTCCATTTCATGCTGTTTGGACTGATGCAAAAAGCACAAAACAACTTCTTTGAAATGACGTCCAACTATAATCACGCTGGATAAAAATTTGTTCTAATTTTTATTTTATTTTTTACCTGTTTTCTTGAGGATCTAGTTTGATAAACTGAGTGAAGACCGACCCATTCTAGGCCAGACAGAAATATCTTCAAGAAATAAATTCAATTCCTTCATTAGTGAACGTAATAAAATATGCCTGCTTAAATCTGGCCTACGAAGGCAAAGAAAAGGTCATTGACTAATTAATTAGGACCTTTTTAGGGCTTCTAAATGATAGTTCTCTATCTGTGCTCTCAGTTAGCTGTACTGTACCATTACAACTATTTACTAATATTGATATACTATAGGTTAGGCCAGAATCGACTTATAATAAACAAATATGCAGTACGCTCTTTATATAGTTTATGGTCAATAAAATTAGTAAAGGATTAGCGTACATCATCTCTCTATACACTATAACCTCGTTGGCTTCTAACAATTTGACAAAAAGTGCAATGACAATCTTTATATAAGTAGTAATCTCAGGTTTATTTGGGTGTTTGTCCGTCTGTTTTTATGCCCGATCATAACCCCTTTGCCTCAAATTTTGCACCAGGAAAGTTCTCAGCATAAATTATTAAATTCAGTACTTAATTTTTATGATTCCCATGCTAGTAGTTATATAATGACTTGTACAGTGATAACTAAAAAACTCTAAATATGCAGACACGCCTATATAGCAATACTTGTGTATAAGTGTATTTAACGTTGTTGCAAAGCAAAGATTTTACTTAACACTTAATAAATGCGCCTGTTTACACTGCACAATTGCTTATTGAAATATTTAAAGTCACAACTTGAGTCTAAAAGTCGTCTTTTAAAAGCAGAGCTTTCTGGTTTTCACTGTAAATAATATAATGTTGATTTATGACCCCATTACATTTTTAAATTAACGAACTACTCAGTCTCTGTAAGGCTGGGGACGAAGCCACATTACATGTTTTGCCAATAGATACAAAAGAACCATTCTTAATTTTAAAAACATCTCAATCTTACAGTGATCNACTTATAATTCGCAATATGCTTAACATAACACCTCAGGATGGCTGAATACATTGAAGTTAAATATTTCCCTTATTATATTGAGATGCAATGGATGAACCAGTTTCTACAAGAATACAATTTCAATCTTAAAAATCTTTCTATAGATATGATTTCACAACGGTAGCCTAAAAAGTTTTATCTCACCAAGAATGAATGAGGTATCAAATATCAATGTTTTCAAAAGAATGACTTGCAGATTTTTTTTTACACATTTTAACAGATATAGGTTTATAGCGTCCTATTGGAAATCGGGCATTTGATTCTATAAGTGTAGGGTCACTTGAAATTAAATCTAAAGGCCCTTTCTGCAAGTTTCACTGCAAAAAATGAAGAAAAAAAATCAATCATATAATATTTAATGAGTTTGTATTATTCCTTGACGTATAGCTTCCACAAGAGTGATGGGTTCATAAAACTCATCAGGATCACAACAAACAGTACAGATCAAGTATTTGTGAAATCTAAACAGTGGAGATCAAGTATTTGTGAAATCTAAACAGTGCAGATCAAGTACTAGTGAAATCTTAACAGTACAGATCAAGTACTTGTGAAATCTGAACAGTGCAGATCAAGTACTTGTGAAATATAAACAGTGCAGATCAAGTACTTGTGAAATATAAACAGTGGAGATCAAGTATTTGTGAAATCTAAACAGTGCAGATCAAGTATTTGTGAAATCTAAACAGTGCAGATCAAGTACTAGTGAAATCTAAACAGTACAGATCAAGTACTTGTGAAATCTGAACAGTGCAGATCAAGTACTTGTGAAATATAAACAGTGCAGATCAAGTATTTGTGAAATCTAAACAGTGCAGATCAAGTACTTGTGAAATCTAAACAGTGCAGATTAAGTATTTGTGAAATCTAAAATAAAGTTGAACCAAATTATTAACAGAGGCGCATATCCCCCCTTACCCCTATGAAAAAATCATTTTTTTATCCGGATGGCGGAAATTTAGGCACTGGAGACGTCTATAGATAAATTTGGCTTGTCTGTCTGTCTGTTGGTTTGTGTGTATCAAATAAACGTCAAAACGGCTGAACCGATCGGGCCCAAATTTTTTGTGGGACATCACGTGACCACAGGGA